TGCCTATTATTAACATATTGGCTGTTTATTAGTATTTATAAAGCACATATTCTGCATGACCATATTCTACATCCCTAATCATACCCAATACCTAAACTTAACAACTACCTTACTAACTATTAATAAGCAGCAACTTTTGAGTTTATTGAGGCAAAAGTCGTAGTTAATGGTTTGTTAATAGTGAGAATTGGACCTTAAAATAAAGTGACCGATTTAAAAAAACGTACTGACCCCAAACTTTTGAAACGGTTTTTAAAATCTCCATGTAGTGTGCCATAAAATATACAAACAGTTAACCTGTCTTTTTTTTTTTCTTACCCAAAATTCTTTTAATTCAGTCAAATGGCTGATATTTTCAATCTTTTTTATCCTGTTCGCAGCGATATCCAAAGTTGTCAGCTTTTTCTAAAAAAAAAAGGGAAGAAAGATGAAAGATATGTATATTCTAGCACAAAAATATTCTGGGGCGCATAAAAATTAAAACCACTGATGTGACGACAGATCAGAACACAGACATCCCCCGTGGAGTAAAGGTGCAGTGGAGAGGCAGAGAATTTCAGAATAGCTGGAGAAACGTGAATATTACACACAAAACTACCAGATTCTAGCCTGGCAGCTTCTTAACATGCATTTTATGATGGTTTCTTTATCTTGCAATTTTGCTACAGATATTTAACAAGATTTAAAGGAGACATATTATGCCCCTTTTTACAATATGTAATATAAGTCTCTGGTGTCCCCAGAATGTGTCTGTGAAGTTTCAGCTCAAAACACCCCACGGATCTTTTATTATATCATTTTGAAAATGCCTATTTTGAGTGGAAGCAGAAACGCGCTGTTTTTCGGGCCTGTCTCTTTAAATGCAAATGAGCTGCTGCTCCCCGCCCCCTTTTCCAGAATAGAGCTGTGCCTTTAAAGCTCGGACCTTCTAAAAAAACATCTGTTTTGGTTCTGATTATCATGTTTATCACGCTGAAATCATGCGTTTTAAACCATATTAGTTTAAACTTCTGATATACGGTTTTCTGAGCGCACACATCCGAAGCACACGGACAGAAAGCGGCTGTCACAGCATGCGAGTACTAAACTAAGTTCTCATTCACCCACAAGTTAACGTTAAAAACACACAAGTTACAAAAACAGTTGTCTGTGTCATGTCGGTGAAGGTAAACAACTGGGAAATAAATCGCATGTTTATTTTAGATTTGTGTGGCAGCAGCAATATACATTAAATAAATCAATAAATCCACTGCTCTCTTGTCTCCTCTGAGGCTGGGTCTCTAAATAGTGTTCGGTGCTCGTCCGTGCAGCCAAAGGCAGAACAGTTAGCATTAGTGCTAGGCGGTATACCGGTTCATACCGAATGCCGGTGTTTATTTTTGTTATGATATGA